TCTGACACTACAGGAGACGCTGAGGCTAAAGTGTCTAACCGCATGACATTTGGATGATAGATCCCAACACTCTTTGTCTCCCATGTAATCTATTGCCCCCGGTGATATCCACCCCCCCCTGTGCACGTCTTCCATTTGATTCTGATCCGGTACCCCCCGGTTTGATCTGCCGTCAAATACATCTTAACAACAATTACAAGCTTATGTTTATTAAAGTGTATGTAAACCCTATCAATTTACTTACAATATCCACTCCCTTTTGCTATACATAGAGACTATGTACTATATATGATATACACTATATTGCCAAAAGTATTGGGACACCCATCCAAATCATTGGATTTCAGTGTTCCAATCACCTCCATGGCCACAGGTGTATAAAACCAAGCACCTAGGCATGCAGACTGCTTCTAGAAACATTTGTGAAAGAATGGGTCGCTCTCAGGAGCCCAGTAAATTAAAGCGTGGTACCGTGATAGGTTGCCACCTGTGCAACAAGTGCATCCGTGAAATGTCCTTGCTACTAAATATTCCAGTCAACTGTTAGTGGTATTATAACTAAGTGGGAACAACAGAAACTTAAGTCATTTTACGTGGCCTACCACTTCGTGACTAAGCGGGGTCAGCTCATGCTGAAGCACACAGAAGTCGCCAACTGTCTGCAGCGTCAATAGCTGCAGACCTCCAAACTTAATGTGGCCTTCACATTGGCACAACAACAATGCGTAGAGAGCTTCATGGAATGGGTTTCCATGGCCGAGCAGCTGCATCCAAGCCTTACATCAGCAAGTACAATGCCAAGCGTCGGATGCAGTGGTGTAAAGCACGCCGCCCCTGGACTTGAGAAGTGGAGACGTGTTCTCTGGAGTGACGAATCACGCTTCTCTGTCTGGTAATCCGATGGACGTGTCTGGGTTGGGCGTTTACCAGGAGAACGGTACTTGCCTGACTGCATTGTGCCAAGTGTAAAGTTTGGTGGAGTGGGGATTATGGTGTGGGGTAGTTTTCCAGGGGTTGGGCTTGGCCCCTTAGTTCCAGTGAAGGGAACTCTTAAGGCATCAGCATACAAAGATATTTTGGACAATTTCATGCTCCCAACTTTGTGGGAACAGTTTGGGGATGGCCCCTTCCTGTTCCAACATGACTGCGCACCAGTGCACAAAGCAATGTCCATAAAGATATGGATGAACGTGACTGGCCTGCATAGAGTCCTGACCTCAACCTGATAGAACACCTTTGGGATGAATTGGACAAGAAGGCATGGCTCACAGTTTCTGCTTCTGGAAGAATGGCCAAACATTCCCATAGACACACTCCTAAACCTTGTGGACAGCCTTCCCAGAAGTGTTGAAGCTGTTATAGCAGCAATTGGCTGGGCCAATTCAATATTGGACACTACGGACTAAGACTGGGATGCTATTGAAGTTCATGTGCGTGTAAAGGCAGGCGTCCCAATACTTTTGGCAATATAGTGTATATTAAGAGTCTTATATTAACAGTATCACAATGTCAGCACTAAATGTCTTAACAGGTGCAGGACTCTTTTGCCCAGAAAGCAACAAATAAGGGTCCAAAGACAACACACAGCAGTCCTGATCTGTCACACCATCAAATGGACCAAAGATCTGCCAACAGGGAGGTTCCAGGGACATCTAAAAATATGACTTCACTTCTTTCAGAACCCCCTTCTAACAAACGAGTGGTTCTTAGGACATCGCCCAGCATACTACTGAAAGGCCTAGGGAATTTTCTGTGTTGCAGATGCAACAAAGTGCAAGACCTTTCACCATCCGATCCTCCAATGTGGATGGAATGCATTGATAGCTACCTAGTTCCAAAGGGTTTGCATTATGAGAAATTCTTCCGGAAGGGCAGTATTGTTTTCCTATATATGATCTGCAGAGACTCCATTTCTCCAGAGATTACATCTAAATCAGAATTCAAAGCAGCTTTCCTTGCCTGTGCTTTTGTCACCTACTCATACCTAACGCTTTATGACTACTACCCTGTGAAACTGTTCTTAGTGGATGGTATTTCAAAGTCGTTCTTCTCGCACAGATGTGTCTCCATCGCTCTGTCCATGAGTAGCAAGATGATGAAGATCAGTGCAAACCGCCAGTATTACTTTGAGGTGCTCAACGATTTAAAAGCAGAGGCTGAGCTGGAAGAGGCAAAGATGAATGTACAAACTGGATGCCCATTTTAGTAGGTCGGTGTTATATTAAGATCTAGTGATTCACATCATCTTGATTGGAACGCTTTATTAAATCTTTGCAAAGATCTCTGGAATTTGGAAAAACGGTAACTGGATGGATTTCTCCAGAGAAGGAGTTGAGAAGGGATATTTGGAAAACAAAAAGCTAAAGCCTTCAGGCTTACACACACTTTTTACCTGAGCCTCTGTATGCATTTCAAAGTGTAGCTGCCCTCTAAGATAACAAGTAATTCAGGGGTGTTCTAGAATGTAATAATTTAGGAATCTGGAAGCCCCGTGTTCTGACAAATTTACTAGCTACACATTCTAGAGGGTTTTTCATTTGTCAGGTCTAAAAACTCTATGAAATGTACAGTATATTGAAATTCATTAGCTGAACCAGATGCCAGTGATGGAAGGAATGGAACTGCACTGAGTGGATGGCATTCACATGGTCTTAGCAGCTGCTTGAGATCACACAAGTTTTCTACATTCTACAGAGTTGTGGAGAAAGCCTATGTTGGGTGTAATACGAACATGGGGCGATAAATGTTATGAGCTGCTGCTGCAAAACAAAAAGGTGCAAGCTCCTGGCCTGTCATTCTTCTCCTTGCTCTGCAGTGACTTGGCAGTGGCTGTGGAGGCAGCACCATATTAGGTGTGAAGTGTGTGAAAGGATGAGAGTTCCTAAGGTAGCAATGGTTGGGGTGCACAGTAATTGGTTATTGGAGCAGAAGTGTTGGGGAGCATAAGAAAGGAATTTAGACTTTTTTTTAGGTCTGCGAATACATGTTGGCTCGCTCCTGGAGGAGTGTGGTAACAAACCAAAAAACTCAACCGAGCTTTGCGATTAACAATGTAAAGCCTAACTGAACTGGTTTTTTTTTTAATAAAATGCTTGGTTTTCACCTCTTTTTCCATCATTTGTCCCATCTCAGTGCTGTTGAACTCTTGCGGCCTCTTCCCGTCTACATGTATGCAATCCAGCGATGGCTGCATGGCATTTCACAGGGTAACTTCCTTATGAAAAAAACAATGGAACTTGCCTACATATAGTCTGGTAAACATCTGTCTCCATCAGAAGCCCGAATTACAGGGTGACAACACAAGAAAGTAACTGACAGGGACAGTGGCATAACCTGCAACAGGAAGTGCCTGAACCATGACTTTCATAGCAGGATCACCATGTAGTTTCATAAACACTGCATATTAAAAAATACTGAAAAGGAAATTTGAAATGACAACACGTCACCTTTATACGAGATTTTAGCAATTGGGTTTACATAAATTAAGAATTAAACGGTGCATGCTGAAAAGGTATAGTACTTTACAACAATTCCATTTGTTTGTAACATACTTACAAATGTCAAAACATATACATATGGACTCAGAAGGAAATAAATGCTCCAAGTTGCAGCATGAATTTACAGCAGAACCTAAATGACTAAATTTAAAAGAAATGAAACATTTTAACTTCTAATTCTCAAAAATAATAAAGCAAAAATGTATGAAGCTTCAAACTAACCCGTCCTTTTAAAATGTGTTAATTTGAGGTTAGAAAAGATCTTCTGACCCTACTATTTGCATGTTTAGGTGTGACTAAGCCATTTTAGTATAATGCTGGCTCTGGGTTATAAGCACCTGTTTCCTGTTCTAGCACCTGTGTAATGAAAATAAGTTAATCACCAAATATGAGCTACAGAAAGAGGATCCGTCATCAGCATCCTCATGCACATACACATACAGGAAGTCCTTTATCAGAATGGGACACTTCCAACAATACATACAGCAATACAGGAGAGCGGAATGCCCACTTTGTTTTGAAAGGAAACCTGCAACAATTGAGATATGGGTACTGCCCTGTCTAGTGTTAAATGGACAGCTTCCAGGGCTGTAATTCTGGCTTTTTTACTCGCTGACCAGGAACGTGTCAAAAAGACAAGCATTTAAAAGGGTTATTAAACCCTCACTTTTTTTGCATTTATCTACTGCTACATGGTTACCGTATTTTTCGCTCCATAAGACGCACTTTTTTCCCCCCAAAAGGAGGGGGAAAATGTGCCTGCGTCCTATGGAGCGAATCCCGACGCGCGAGACATGCAGTTTCGGGTGCCGAGCGGGTAGTAGGAGCCACTGCTCGTTTAATACGAGTGATCTAATGAGGTCACTCGTATTAAAACCGAGCAGCGGCGACGATCAAGATCACCATAGAGCAGACGAAGAACGGACTTTCTTCGTCTGCTCTGTGTGATCACTGAGACCGTGGCGCTGTAACCACAGCGCCACCTGTCCCAGTGGTTACTAACTGCAGCTTCTGTCACAGCTTCTGTCATAGAAGCTGTGTCAGAAGCTACAGTCTGTCGAGTGCTCCATAAGGCGCGCCGGACCTCCCTGCGTCCTATGGTCCGCAAAATACGGTAATTGGTAGCTAATCGATAAGAAAAATTTAAAAGGAGCAGGATAGATATTTGTTCTCGTTTCTTAGCCAAACAAAAATAAAATTCTAACTGTGAATGTGATTTCTGTTTGGGAAAAAAAAAAACATACATGTTGTAATGTGTGCCAGGCACAAAAGAAACCAGTATGGGCCCCCCGCGATTCCATTCAAACAGCAGGTCTGGATAAAAAATTTATGAAGTGCTTCCGAACTAAATAAGTTGACTTAATGATGGAAAGATCGAATGCTCTGATGAACAAAAGTTTGAATGAAACTGCATTGGTGTATGGCCAGCTTTACAGCCCCTGTACACAAAAGGCATGCTGCTCACAAGGTTAATTTCCATGGAAAAGACAATTACAAACTTACCGGGATGACATTTGACACAGGGATCGGAGGGAAAGAGCTGGCATGAAGTTTAAGGCAGAATTATAACAGAGTAGGAGAAACGCCAGTACTTCAAATCTACAAAAAGAGAAAAAAAAAACATTAAAAAATTATTCTCAGAAGCAAAAACAAAATGGTGCAACTAAGAAATAGCATGACTTACAATAGCTGCGGTACCCTTATGCATTCTGGGTCAGCATCCAGAACCTGCATACCTACAGGATGTTATGAGAAATGGCTTAATGCTGTCAGAAGACACTGATGTCACCCACAATGCCAGCAGCTCCCTAGGAGTCATGAAAACTTGCACAATTTGGAGATTAGCATACATACACTATATTACCAAAAGTATTGGGACACCCCTCCAAATCATTGGATTCAGGTGTTCCGTGAAATTTCCTTGCTACTAAATATTCCACGGTCACCTGTTAGTGGTATTATAACGAAGTGGAAGCAACTGGGAACAACAGCAACTCAGCCACGAAGTGGTAGGCCACGTAAAATGACAGAGCGGGGTCAGTGGATGCTGAAGCGCACAGTGCGCAGAAGGATGGCCCCTTCCTGTTCCAACATGACTGCGCACCAGTGCACAAAGCAAGGTCCATAAATACATTTATGAAGGAGTTTGGGGTGGAGGAACTTGACTGGCCTGCACAGAGTCCTGACCTCCACAGAGTCCCGACATCAACCTGATAGAACACCTTTGGGATGAATTAGAGCGGAGACTGCGAGCCCGGCCTTCTCCTCCAACATCAGTACCTGACCTCACAAATGCGCTTCTGGAAGAATGATCAAACATTCCCATAGACACACTCCTAAACCTTGTGTTATAGCTACAAAGGGTGGGCCAACTCAATATTGAACCCTACAGACTTAAGACTGGGATGCTATTAAAGTTTATGTGCGTGAAACGGTAGGTGTCCCAATACTTCTGGTAATATAGTGTATTTATGCATCTGTTATGCCTTATGTGCACTGCCCGGCTTGAGCCTCAAAAACAAGCGGTTGTTGGTCCTATAAATGGTGTCTGAAGTAATACAGGCCACACAAGAAAAGTAATTGTGGTGTCACCCATACTACCAAGCCAGCGCTAGGTTTGTTGCCTCAGATCTGCTTACATCACTAAGTAGACAATTAGCAATCGCATTAAAAAAAAAAAAGAAGAAGAAATTAGCATGTTTAGAACCCCCCCATAGGACCCTGGAGGAAGGGCGATGACTTACCAGTTACTCTTAACTCCTCACTGGTCCCCAAAACTCCCCACACACAATCACCAAGAAGTCAGCCAACTAGCAGGTCCTAGTGCTACTAGTACAAAATTACTCCACATCAGTGTGGTGTAACCATCATCTGCAATGCTTGCTAGAACTGTGCGGTGCAAAGGGCAACAAGCACATCCAAGTATTTAAAGAGCTCATCATTAGGAATCTCTGGGATAATGAGATTCTCAAAATTATCCATGAGACCACTGTAAATCTCTGTAACCAATGACTAATCCCCTTTTTCACAGAAAAAGAAAGGCGTCACTAATTGACGACGGGTCAATTTATATATTAGCCATGTTAGGAGGGAAAGCTGCTGACGGAAAAAAAAAAAAAGAGTGTTTGACAGAAGGAAAGGTGCAAACATAAGTAGGAGATCTTTTTTTTTTTTTGCATTAACTGGGACTACATTTCTTTATAGAGGCCCCTTTTATACAGGGCAACATTTTTCAGTCATCAGCAGCTTTCTCTCACTAGGATGACAGAGTCATGGGCGGTAGTGAGGGCAGATAACTACTAAGTAGGATCAATAATACATCTGAATGGACCATTAAGGGAGCCAGTCTCCATCCATGATCTAATGGGGTCCCTGCCCATCACCTCCTACAGAACCTTTAGACATCAGCAATAAGCCCAAACTGCATGGAGCCCCACCACAGTTTCACCTGGTAGATGTCGGAAAAAGCAGTGGTAGGCAGACTGCTTGCTTCTTTGAGCTCCAACTGCCAAGAATGTGTCATTGCATCAACTGCAGCTCCACAAATCACCGATGTCTATAACTCAAAACTTAGGTTGACTGCCTTCAAGACCTCAAATTAGGTCTTGCCTTCGACCTCAAATTATTTCTTAACATCCAAAGCTCCACTAGGATCAATTTAAAGACTTACAGGTACCACAACATCCTTGCCCTTCACCAGTGTCATCTTAAGCAGTTTTTAGGTCAGGTCATGTTCACTTTTACAGTAAACATACTAAAGTGCACATAATCTTTTAAATAATACTACTCATGAAAACCAATCCAACCGACCCACATATAAAAGATTCTTAATGAGAAAATAAATATGTCCATTTACACAACTCTGAAGGTCAACTGAATTGTCAAGTTAAATCAGCCAAGTTTATTCCAGGGGCATCAAAATAGAAATGGGTTTACTGTTCATTTTAGTTAGAAACCAAGCTATAGCTGGAGTAGAAAAGCCTGCCCCCTACCAGAAGCCACAGAGTGGAACCCTCACCCTGTGTGTTAAAGCAGTGGTCTCTCAGCAGCAGTCTTAAATGCTCCTTGCTTATGCAGATTAATAGCTCGGTCTGCTGATTGAAGGGCTCTGGAATGCATCAAACACCATTTGTTTTGATGCAACTGGAATGTATTTAGTAGATTTAAACTGAAAATTGAACGTGGCTTTAATATAGTTGTTATCCAGGATAAAAACAACTGGTAAGCAAGGTGCCGTATCCTGCCGTAAAAAGATCTGTAAATCTCTTCCTTAAGATTAAGCACACAAATGGAAGAGGTTTAACTGTAGAATACCAGGCAGGAGATGAATTGCTTTTGTTGTCTGAAGTGTTGCGCTGTTATAATGATCACAGATAAATACAGATTTAAAATTACCTTTGATAACGGTTCTGCAGCAATGTGCTGACAGGGATCTAAAATTGCGCTCAGCTGAGAGGAGAAAAGCTGTTCTAGGGCCAATTCAAAGAGATTATTTACTGTTCCACGCGCACATACACAGATCATACTAGTGATAAGCAAAGTCTATTTTACCGATCATCATACATACATACCATAAATAGAATGGATTTAAATCTCACTTTTCCCAGGGAACAAAAAATCTGTAGAAAACGGTCATTACATAAGCAGGTTTACTCTAGCCTACTGAAGGCCAGGCAAACGTGTAAATGTACAGCTGAACGGTTTTACCTATCAAAGGATTAATAACTGTTCAGTCAAGTCTTCTGATCCAGGCACCTTGCAGGACAGCACAGCCAGGCTCTGGGGCTGTCTGCAAGACCCAAACCAGCCTCTGATTTGCAATCTCAAAATAACAGTATGACCCCGAGGAGGTAATTGTTATCTACCCCAACCTTTTTTTTTTTTTTTCCTCCATATCTCTCTAAGTTGAACTTCATGGACACACCCCCCTTTGCTGATGCATGTTCCTAGTAAGCAGTCTTGATTGGTGCTGTCCCTCCCTCTCCCAGACCGAGTTATACTGTGCAAGAATCAGGAGGTGGCTAACAGCAAGACAAATGCTGGTACTTAAACTTATTCAGTGTTAAGAATATATTTAACGAGGTTTAAATACTAAACAATTTATTTTGTAATATCTAGCTGGAGATCTTTTTTGTGTTATGACGCAGCATCAATGGGTTTTAAATCATGTTTTGATATGCATTTTTTGGAGGAGTTTGGAGGAGAAAAAAAAAATGCATAAAAAGTTAACACAGGTAAGCCTAATGCTGGGCACACACATTACAACCATCCCAACACATTTGTCTTGCGATGGTTGTAAGATAATTAAAAAAAACGTACGATCTGCCTATCTTGGACAGGCAGATCGTACTTACGATGATCGCAAGCCCGCCGCTCTGAGGGGCGGGCTTCCGATGACCGCAATGCTAAACAGGCAGTTACGAACATGCCACACCCCCCAGCCGACAATCGTACGATTCGGCGGGTTTTCGAACATGTTCCTAAGATAAAAAAGTCGTGCGACCTTACAGTAGCAGAGGTCGCACGCCTTCCACACACTTTGCGATAATCATACGATCGCGGGATTTCCCGCGATTATCGCAGTGTGTGTGTGTGTGTGTGTGTGTGTGTGTGTGTGTGTGTAAACCCAGGCTTAGAGTGTCAGGAATAACTATGCAAAAGTAGGAGAGATCTTTAATGCATAGAGCTAGGGATACACTGGTGATTAAATCACTTTGCGGCCTGAGAGGTTTAACTGCTTGTTGACAGTTATCTCATTAGCATCACATTGACTTTAATGTGCTGCACATGATACAAATGACAAGAAAAGAGTTAAATCTCTTCATAGCAAAGAGATTAAAACCGCTCAAGGTATAGCCTTACCCTCAAGGTTACCTTAGATAAATTGGCATGGAAACTCGACAACAGATCTTGGTGTAGAAACTTTGCAGGGTCATGTAAACACACCATACACCAACAACCATTTGGAGAGCAAATATATGAAAAGTGCTCATTACCTGTTCTGAGCTGTTAGCGTCTCTCTTTGGGGATGAGGCCCACTGTACACAACCCTGCTTAGTCCATGCTGTGAAAGAGCTCCTTCTGTTAATGCCATGGATCCTATGCTAGATGGCTAGAGGTAAAAAATACAAATAAATTACAGGTGTGTTATTTTTAATCACATTTGGGCATTTAAATTGCCACATAATGGTTCTTTATAGTATTAAACTCACTCTTTTTTTCAATAATGAATCCAGATCAAACAAATATACATTGCCCAGCAAAGTATTTCTTTACAATATTGCCCAAGTAGTCATGTTTCCTACCAGCTGGCTCCAACTCTCTCAGCTCTGCTTTCCTGAACTTCCCATCTAGTACAAGACCACCAGGGACAAAGTCTCCAGCAGCCATCCATCTACTAGCTTGGAGAAGGGATGCAGGGGAACCAAGGAGCATAGAAGTGCCTTGCTGTGCATGTGTGTTTGTGGACACACACAGCTTACTACCACACACAATGGTGGCTCCATAGGACCTTGCAAGGATGTCCTATATGAGCTACCTAAAACAGGATATCAGGGCCAGTGCTCAGGAGACCAGCTGATTCTGCAGGAAACAAAAGCTTTTAAACATAAAGAAGCAGCATCCATTGTAAGTCATATCAGCATTTGAAATAGCTTAAAAACCTTTTGATTTTAAGATCACTTTAAATTATTACATGGAGAAACTCAACTTATAAACAGGCTATGGCTACTTAAACCATCTTTTTCAGTATCGGGAGATGTAGATGGCTGAATTAGCTATTGGCTCCAGCAAGGAGATCACACCCGCTACATACTGCCATAGAATTTGACTCTTCCTGCAGCTCCAGAAAAAGTATCCATCTTTAACACTAAAAAACATGAATCCAACAAAGACTTGGGACTCCTCATAATGGCAAGAGGAGCTGGAACCTCAAGGTCAGGGAGATCGCAGAAGATCCTCCGAGTTACAAAAAGCTGATAAGGGATGATTCCGCCGTGCAAAATGCAATGCGTTCAGGCAGCCCGTACATTTCAAATGGACTTCCAATGCTGAGAAATGGAAGAAAAACAGACCTGCACAATATTTTTCGAGTTACCGCAACGCAGTAGTGAGAAGCCAGCCATAAAGCTTGCTCCAGAGTAATCATTTCCAGGTCTATTTTAATTATCCTGGTTTTACTTTTTTTTTTTCTCGATTCAAATCTCACAATTGCCATAAGACACCTTTCTGGGCAGAGCAAACCTTTCCTTTTTTGTTCCTCTAGGCCACTAGGATGTTTGTACACGTAACATGTGGCTCCTGTGCCTTTTCCTACGCAGGCTCGTGTGGTGCAAATTGTTCAGTGCATATACAGCAGAGAGCATGCCCACTTCCAAAAGACATTCGGATTTTATATTTTCATAGTAAGGACAATTACATATACAAAAAGGCACGGAGAATGCATGTACAAGTTTGCTCCATCACTCACAATGATTAAAGTTATCTTTAAATACGTCCCTGAATTTCCACCCAACTCCACAATTACCTAAAACTCTGCACCCCAGATAAATCACATCACTTTCAGGAGTCCAATTGGTCAGACTGATTACACAAGTAGTCTTGAAGTAGTGGTCAGTATTCCAGTATATTTTAATGAACACGGTTTAGAGAAGATAGGGATTTAATAACATGTTTGGAAAGCTCTTTATTCCCATTTAAACTCCACTAAAAAGTCCAGCGACCCTTTGCTGTTAAATGGATCAGTTTTGACAGAAGAGCAATCTGGGCTAATATGCATCATTAGTTCACCTGACATGCCCACATAAGCAGCTTATCATTCTCCAGCTACTTTTATCAGAATCGAGTCTTCTCACACAGACTCAGGATTTAGCAAGGAAAAAAAAGAGAAAAAAAAAAGGGTTCAACTCCAAATATATAATTAAAGGGAAAAGCAGGAGCTGCCACAGGCCCTCGTGAAAAAAAAAAAGACAGTTGCCTGGGACGTTCAAAGACGGCCAGGGAACAACCAGTGCCAATGTGTACAGATGCCTTCTCTGGTCTGGCCCCATTTTCATGAATCATACTGATGGGGAAAAGGACGTTTTATTTTTAGGTGCCATAAAATGGGAGATAACTACTGGTGCAGCATTTTGCATAGAGACCGGAAAAGAGATCCGTATGCACTGTGCAATCATCCCGTTATAATGGCAACATTTAATGATTATTAAAAGGAGAGCTTACATTTTATTTTTTTTTTTTTGCAGGTTCCCATTCTGCCCAGAACGCACTGCATTGTGGCCGGCTCACTATGTTGTGGGCAGGAGGGGGTGTGGCGGGCCATTGAAGTGAATGGCACCGTAGCCATGCCCTCCAGCCGCAATGCGATCGGCTAACGCTTGCAGCATTTTGACCGGACCAGACCGCAGGCATAATGTGCCTTGCAATCACGTGCAGCTGATCGCATTGCGGCCGGAGGGCGTGTCTACGGTGCCATTCACTTCAAGGGACGACCACAATGCGATGCAGTGCGTTCTGGACAGAATGCACTGCATCTGGTGTGGGTGAGGCCTAACAGTTTGTTTTCTTTAGAAAGCAGCCACAGAGTAGACAAGCCTATGGCCTGCTAGCATGGTGCAGAGTAAGACTCTTGTTCTGTGAGCCAAGAATACTGAGGCAGCTATATTTGCCTACGCAATGTGCAGGCTTTACTTCCTATCTAATAGTGATGCACAGTGGTCATATCATACTGCTCTTCTGCCAATGCAAACCTAGCCGATTGTCAACAAAAATACTCTGTGGGTTCAAGATCACCCAAACCACAGTTCTAAAGGGATTTTACAACTTAACATGGGATTGAACCCTGCGCCCGCACACCGAAACGTCAGTCACACATTTTAGATGGAGCTGTTCTTTAATAATGGGTTATGGAGGCCAATAAATTCTACCAATACTGTCTGAAACCATCCCTGAGGAATACTACCCGTAAGTGATGCGTGAAAGCACTCTTTAAATTTACAGAATAAGCCAACTCTACTAGGATTATATGGAAAGATGGATAAAATATCACCTTCAGAAGCTCATTCCAGGAGAGAAGCATTATGTACACAGTAGACCATTTTTTTTTACTTACCTCATGAAACACTGATGGCTTTGACAAGGATGGAATTGTAAAAGACAAGATCTTGCTGTGTCCCTGATCATCCATAATTTCCTACAAAAAAAAAAAAAAAAAGTGAATCTATAGAAAAGTTCTGATCTGCGGCAACATTAGAAAGGAACAGCATTAAGAAAGAAAGCTTTTAGAACTGAACTTCCAGCAGATAAATGCATATTTAGGCAAAATGTTCTTATATGAAATACTTACATGGAGATATACATGTATTGATAGGAGCTTTGTGTAGCAGCAGCACTCAGACTAGGAAAGGGAGGGGTAGCACTAGTAGGCAATTAGGACTGGACTGTTTCAAACAGCATTGTCTGTCCACAATCTGAAGAGAGCAGTGCGAATAACGGCTCAATGAGCTGCTTCTCCTTCACTGCTTAGTCACAGGCTTGCAGAAAAGTAATAAAAAATATATATCTAGATATCTAGATATAGATATATATTCATAATCATTACATTCACAGAATGTAATGATTGGGCATGATTGCACAATTTGTGCCAAAGTGGACATGAAAATAGAAAAAAGAAATTGTAAGTGAAATAAAAATATGTTTGTTTAGCTAATGATTGTAAGAGGATTTCATATCAGCATGCAGAGCTGTATGCTGATGTGATTTTTAGTAAAAGGTCCAGTTTAAGACCAGTCAGTGGAAACTATTGGCCAGATGCAACCTGTTCTACTATGTTGCCAGTGCAAGATGAAGGCATTTCATTTAAAAACATGTAATCGCGTGAGCAAAGTCTGTCTGCTTCCAGGGGCTTGCGGCCATCTTTCACCCTAGGTTTATGAGCTACTAAAGACACATTTATATTACATCAACAAACAGGCGTTTTTTTTTACTATGAGGTGACTCAGAAAACAAAGCATTGGCAAAGTGCATCTATTGGTCTTTATACGCCATCAATATCCAGTTTCGATGACTCAAAGCTCGACTCCACCAACACAAAATACACAAAGCCGACTATGTAGACACACAATGAAGCCCTGTGGGGAACCCCAATCATTAATCACAGCACGCTATACCATCCCCCAAAAGACACACCTCCTAATACATGATCCAACAATGGCATCAATAATTATGTTCATTATAGCTTCAAAGCATGAACCAGAATGCCTCATTCTGTACTTCGGGTGTAATAAGAGGCCTTATATGGAATCATATGAAACCACACACCTTTCATTAAACCAAGACCTTACAATGGGCATTGTGTGTCACTGCTCACAGCAAGTAATTGCAGTCCCAATTCTGGAAACCACTAGAAAACCATTTATTAGAATAAGTTTGCACACACTGGATTCCGTTCAAAATTTTGAAACCCAATTTGTGAATTGCTTAAAAAAGGAAAGTCTAAATGAAACAGGACTTTAGGCTCTCGAACTCAAGATTTCAAATGGGTAAGCTCTCTCTTCTGTAAAGGAGGGTATAGGAGGAATGGAGAACTTCTACAACCTCTAGTTAAGCTGCTTTTTGAAACATCTCCTCACCACTAGTACCAGGGCACAATTGACACCCATGTGGAAGCTGCCTCCCATTCAATTGTTTGCGACGTTGGCTCTAGGGTTTAAAGGAAAAGCTTACCAATCGGGTGTTTCAGGTGCAGATGATGGAGGGCTGAGTCATACAAAGGCTACCTCAATCGGGAGCGAAGGGTCATCTCCCTGCCCCTGGCATTTCATAAATCCAGCTTCACCACACATTACATATTAGGGACGGAGGAAGGTCATTAAATGTAAGCAGGTTGGTGGGGCTAGGAACTGTGAACTCTCATAACTTAGAGTGCCCACTAGGTATCAAAATTTAGTGGACGATTCAACTCATGAATAGCTGCCAAATATAAATAGAAGTTCTGGACACACTCATCCTTAAATTCAAGGCTACCCTTCTCTCAGGTCTAACTTCTCTTTCTAAACACACAAGATCCCCCAAATACAAAACCACCATATGTGGCACCTACCACATACCTTACACCAACTAATGAACGAGCTAAAAAGGTCACAGAGCTGAAATGCCACCTTTGGTTTGCATCTTGCCAAATACAAGTTTTCAACATCAGGCTGATCCTAACACTGCACCACCAGATGCTTTGCATGGCATAACAGTTCAGGACACTGACTAGAAGACGACATAGGTATTTTAAAATGGTGAACTAGTGGGTTCATCTATTCTCTGTTGTAATATTCCTAATACTGGCCTCACATGGCCATATTGAAGCTTTCCATTAGCGTACAACCACAGAAAAACATGCCAGCCACAGTTTTATGTGTTTTCCAGTTTTGAATGATCAAAATGTCAAGATTGTGGTGGAAAATGATCAAAACCTCAGCAGTGCCAATTGGAAGGCATTTTCAATTGATTTCCATGTACATTTCATTCAGTCAGCCACTGCAGCTGCACAGTGGCTGAATACGTTGATGCCAGCACGCTGTGGTTAATGCTGATGGAAAGCGATAAAACTGTGCGAACCGCCAACATAGCTTTATAAGAGAATGGACTTGTAAAACAAAAATAAAGAACCATCTTCCCGGTGTCTATCAGGTGCTACATGCGCTATTTCAGCATTTCACAAACCACTCCTCAGGGGTCACTACTAGCATTACTTGCTTTCCTTTATGGTTACAAAATTACAGTGGTTCTATTATTTTATTTATTTTACAGTGGTTCCATTATATATATTTTTTTTTAAACGATTACTAAAGAATTCCATATTTTTTTTTGTACCATATTTGGGGTGTATAATGAAACATGGTCACATAAACAAGATGCCCAGCCACAACCGACCCCTCTATTACCAGAATCCTGGGGTGCTCCTCCCAGCATGGTCCTGTATTTATATAAAAACTGGAGCAGCTGTGCCTGGCTCTGCCTGCAAATCCCTGTCATCCATTCACAGATCCTTTGACAAGATCTGTGAACAGAGAGAGACTAAAAGTCCCATCTGCCACTGCAGCAAAATGACTCGTATTTCTCAATGGAGTAAATGTGTGGTGACATCACCGCACTTTTAATCCATCAATGCTTCCTCCCATCCCTGCAACTGAAAGTCCGTACCTCGTTATGGACAAGAACTGGCAGGAACAGTCTGCAAGAGCCAGATGCAATGCTTTGCAGGCTCATATATAGATCAATAAATGCACTTTTGTTTGCTCTAAATAATGCATTTACATTTATTGATTTTATTGCATTAGGTGGACTTTGTCTTTAAAACATATTTGTTCCTAGTTCAGAGTATAAAAACACACACACACTCACTAGTAACCGATACCAACCAGTCAGAAGTGATCTCTGATTCAGTAAACTAAAACAGGTCTACCTTGTGCACCTGAGGTTCCTTTCTTCATACTTTCTGGTGTACCCTCTTAACCTCTATACTATGGACACACTTCATGTTTTAGAAAATACCCAGACTACGCTAAGAAAAAAAAAATATATTTTTTCCTTTCTCTAACATTTGCTAAACCTGCAAGTGCCAATTGAAAGGCACTACACCTATTGGCACATCAATGCTAACTTCAGAGCAAATGGGAAGGAGGACAAGAGGTTTTGCATTTTGACCATTTCATACATAGATCCTACAAATCTCTCACTCTCAAAATTATATATATTCTATTTTGTTTGTGCTATGAGCCCCACGGACTTGTGGTATGGATAATACTGTATGTAAAGCAGAAGCACTCTGCAGCATGGCTACAAAGCAGGAAGCAGAGCCTGCATATATAAAACATGCAAATAAGGCTTGCACCATGAAACCAGAACTAGAGACACTTGTAAATGAGCAGATATCGATAAGATAATCACATTTTTATACACAAGTCTCACTTCACAGCAAGACTTTGACAGTCAACTTGCTGCAGAGTTCAGGAAAGACTGATAAGCATCTGTAATATAAGCAAAATGTGCAAAGGAAATGGTACAGGTCCCTGGATGACAAACTGGTATGTGTTTTTTTACTTAACGTATTCCAGGACACATTGCTGGATGAAACTTACACAGCCAGGGGCTGTGAAGCTAAGCTGATGGATAAGTAAAAGTCTTGTTTGCTTTAGTGAAGCAGATCTCATCCTCACTAAAATGTACTTAAAACAAATTGCTAAATAAACATATGTGATACATCTACAGCAGCTGCTTTACTTGCAAAAGGATTTGAATGTGTCCATTCAGCTCTGAAACTTTCACAGCTGTGTCTGCCAGGGGAGGAGATCTGATTTTTACTTGCAATCCCTCCAGCCTAAAACTGGACAGTGAAAGGAGAAGCAACATGAGGGAGGGAGAATGACGGAAGCAGAGTTGTCGTTCGAGGAGTGCAAGACCATTTTGAAGTGGTATTTGAAATTCAAGAACGTTGTGGAAGTACAACGACAATGGAGGTGTGAGTATGCAACAGGACCTCCAACACGCCTAACAATTGCATGCATTCATGATAAGTGAGGCACATGTACTGTGTGTAATGTGCACAAGGGAAGACATGTGGACACTTTGGTCAATGTTGCTCAAGCAGTAGTTCGCTGTAATCAGAAGTGTCTGGATGCTGATGGTAACCACTCTGAGCACCTCTTGTAATTGCAGAAGTCAAACGTGACATACATACATACATACATACATACATACATACATATTCATTACAATTTTAACACAGTTTTTCCTTTCTTAAATGTGTATTTATTTTTGGGCGAGGTAGATCTCTCCAATCAGCAGTAGGCGTGGGCTCATTATGGGGTGTGCCGGATCCCTGTAGAGAGACCACTAGTCACACACAGATACAGTGGTACCTCTGCAGTCTTCTGCCCAGGTCTGGAGCAGAAATCTAATGCAACTAGCACTAAGCCATTCCAGAGCGTATGTTATAGTATAACCAATCTCCCCTACCTTATTCATTTTACATTAGACTTCAACTGGGCTTTAACCTCTATAGAAACAGAACTGCTCAGGGCAGTCTCCAATGCTTTGGTGTACCGACTTCATCTTCGAGAACTGCAGTTGATCATCTGGAAGGGTAGGAAATACAATAAGGGCCAGGCAGACGGTGCACATGCAGTTAGGATGAGAGAA